AAAGGGCTAGTCTTTTCAAAGAAATTCCTCCCAAACTAGCTGCGATGAATATCTTCCCTCACGGTACTAAACTCAGCTTAACTTTTTCCATATCAGATCGGGGCGGATAAATTGACTACCAGTCAATTGTCCACTCCAGTGAACAAAATTGGTAAGAAGAAGAGAGGATATTTAAAAGGCAAGCTCAATCAACGACTTGGTACAAAACACCACTGAATTCCTTCTTAAGGTTCTACCTCCTCTGATACTACTTGGTTTCACTCTCCTCTCTTACCTTTAAGGGGAGTACTAGCTTCTAACTACCTTGCTTAAGAGCAGTTACTTCCCTACTTAACTATCGCCTACCTACCATCTTACTTTCTAAAGAGTAGAACTCTTCTAAATTAAAGAAGTGATTTGAATCAAATATACCTCCGGATGGTAACCTCTGGAAGTAGGTCCTTACCTTCTGGTTGCATAAACGATTCCTTTGGAATCTACCTAATACGTCTAACAAATAGGTATCTACTGGATTGATTTCCAAATTTGCCTCAACTTCTTCCTTTTTACTTGGTAAATCAGCTTTCTGCCGGCTTGGTCACAGTTGCCTTCTTGTTAATTCTTATATCCTGGTACTTCCTTCCTAAAATACTACTCCTATTCCTTTCTAGGATACTTCTAACTAATCGAGTAAATTACGGTGGAATCACCTCCCATACACCATAGAACCCCTTATCTGGTGACCTGATCTGTTAACCCCCCTTGATGGTTAGCTAAGCTAGGATACGGCATGGTAGCAAGAGTCAAGGGCCTACCCCAGATCGGCAGTCTAGAGTCGGGTTCCCAGTTACCAACTCAATTCACTCGGCCCCTAAAGAGTGAAAGACTCTTGGAATTGGAATCACATACTTAATTGTAGGGATAATTCGGGGGGGGAAACTTTGGAGATTAGTTAGAGGTATCAGAAACGACAACATGAAGTAGGACAGTGCAAAGTAAGAATCAGAAGAAAGAAGGAGACCAAATTAAAAGGGAATTTACTCCGTACAAGGGCCAATGTAGGTAAAATGCCATGAGCTAGCCTCTTTAAGGTAGCGAGAGATATAACGTCTAGGGATGCCAGTAAGCTGGGGGGGCCTCGCCTCATACGGGGGTTTAGCCCCCGGCTTCAGATAAGCCCGTGCTTTACCACCCCGCACGGGAGTAAGATAAGGTTGTTTTTGCCCCCGTGCGGGCTAAAGCTATCCAGGAAGGGTGTACACTTAAGGATTAAAGTTAAGGATCCCTTAAGGATAGAGTTAATTAGACATATCAGTTAATGATATGTCTATCCCTTACCGTTACAGACCCAACTAGTCAGCTTTTTAGCTAGCCAACTGGCTCATTGCCGTCTTGGGGCCCCCTGTAGTTGCAATCTAAAGCCTTGCCTTTTCAACTCATAACTTTTACGCGGATCGTAGTCGAATGGTCAGACGATCGGTTTGGGTCCGATAGATAGTAAGTTCGATTCTTACCGATCCGATTCAATCTGCTTATGGTTCAAGACCCTTCCCCAATAATACGGTTCACCTTTCTATCTAAGGTGATATCCTTAAAGGGAAGGTAATCTTTACTTAGTCAAAAGAGCACCTTCTACCCTTCTGGTTCCTGAAGTACGGAAGCCGGGGGGAATTTTCATTAGTTATAGGGGGCTAAAGCCCCTATGAGGCATGAGGCATGAGGCGAGGCCCCCCCAACATAGAATTCTAAGAGAAAATTTGGAGCTGTTGTTACCAAACTCTTATGTTGATCATTTTTCTTAAGGAGGAGTGTTAAGCCCGCTCTGGTCGAACTTGGCTGCGGGATCATACGGGGGCCGGCCCCATGGCGCTAATAAAGATAAGCTACTTGGCCCTTGAGCAGCAGGCTATGGTTCTACTAAAGCCCTCTTATAAGGATTTTACCTACAGCTTCAGCCGGTTATAACCGTGGGGGATCCCCAACCATACCAAAGGCCAAGATGAGCGCTTCTAAACAGGGGGCTAATAATCCTATGCACGGTCGTGCCTCACATAATGCAAAGGCTGTTTACTTGTACGAGCTTAAAGCTAAGGCTCTGATTCTTCTTCAAAGATTCCTAATACACCGCTGAATCGCTGGGTGTTAGTCAACAAAGTATCTGTAAGCGCATCAAAAGGGGGGGGCTAAAGCGGGATCCTTTGGATCCCCCTAAAGGCCCCGGGGGCTGCTCTGATTTAATCTGATGTTAGTTTACCCCCCTTTATCTCCAAGAAGTCATCCAATATATGGTTCAATTTCATGCTATCGGGTCTAATAATCTTGCCCTTATTAGGGATTATCGGATTGGTGGTGGTATCGGCTAATCATAGGCTTTCTAAGCAAGTTACATTAGGGGTTACCCTTGCTAACTTAGCACTTAGCCTTGTCCTTTGGGGGGAATTTGACGGCAATTCGGGGGAGTATCAGTTTGTGCAGGAATTGAGTTATGTAACGGAGTGGCAGATTAAATTAGGGGTCGATGGTCTCTCACTCTTGTTCGTAATACTTACTTGCTTTATCATCCCTTGTTCTATTCTAGCTTCTTGGACTTTACCCACTCCAAGAACTTACCACGATTTATTGCAATCTTGGCCCCTGATCGAAGTCGTATGGGTCCGTTTGAGGGGTATCCCTACTCTACTTGATATCCCGAGAACCTCACATTACCTAATGGTGCTACTTCTGGTTGAGTCCCTTCTGATCGGCCTATTCCTGGTGCTTGACCTGCTCCTCTTTTACATTTGCTACGAGTCCGTGCTAATTCCTTTATTTCTAATGATTGGTATCTGGTCCACCAGTCGCAACAAGGTCAGAGCCAGTTACCTTTTGTTCTTATACACCCTATCTGGTTCCTTCTTTATGTTACTAGCTATCTTAAGCATTTATATGGCAGCAGGGACTACTGATTATCTGCTGCTAACTACTGGTGAGTTCACCTCTTCTGTTCAATATGCTCTCTGGTTAGGTGTTTTCCTAGCTTTAGCAATAAAATCCCCTATCATCCCTCTTCACATTTGGCTGCCTCTCGCTCACAGTGAAGCTCCCTTAGCTGGGTCCATTTTATTAGCAGGGATAGTCTTAAAAATGGCTACTTACGGCTTCTTGCGTATCTTGGTCACTCTCCTTCCAGAGGCCTCTGAGTTCTTCACTCCTTTAGTTTACACTCTATGTCTTATCAGTATTCTTTACTCTTGTTTAAGTACACTTCGACAAAGCAACTTAAAAAGTATCATTGCTTACAGTAGTATAGGACACATGGCTATTGCTATATTGGGGCTTTTCTCTAATACAACATTAGGCATCGAAGGTGGCCTTTTACTTGGTTTTGCCCACGGGCTAGTAAGCCCTGCTCTGTTTGTTTGCGTTGGTATAATTTATGAACGCTGGCACACATTAATTATCCTGTATTTCCGAGGTCTAACAACGATTATGCCACTCTTTGCCCTTCTTTTCTTTATCTTCTGCTTGGCTAACATGGGAGTACCGTTGACTGCCAACTTTCTAGGGGAGTTCTTATCTTTAACTGGGGGCTTTAACCGAAACCCCGTCTTAGTCGGGTTAGCTGCTTCCTCAATGGTGCTTGTTGCTGGTTATTCTATCTGGCTCTATAATAGAGTGTGTTTCGGGTCTTTATCGCCTTATCTTCGTGCTACATTGGATATCAACCGTCGTGAATTCTATCTTCTCTTGCCTTTTGTAGTCATTGTTGTGTTCTTGGGTGTTTACCCTAAAATTCTCCTCGACAGCATTCATTTTTCAGTTTCTTCTTTACTTTACACAACTTTCCCCCACCCTAAGGGTGGGGCCTAAAGGCCGGGGCTTATCTGAAGCCCCCGGGAGAATCATCTTCAAGAATCAAGGCCGACTCGCTGGAGGAGTCTCCAAAGAATGAAATTCCTTTAGTGGAACCCTCTCTAGAGAATCGAGATACGTCCTTGTAAGAGGAAGAAAAGTCATCACCATACTCGTCCCAAAGGAACAAGAGAAAGCTGGACATGAAGTCCACTTGAGAGCGAAGAGAAGCGACTTCGTCAGAAAGGGAAGCTATTTGCTGACTTTTCGAGGGACGAGAAGTAGAGCTATACTCAACGGTATAGGTTATTTTCCTAGCAATAATGGACATTTGAGGATTGAATAGATGTTTGGGAAGACATTTTAGAAGAAGATACTTAGTAAGGAAAGCTGTTAAGAAGCCTGAAAAGAAGCTTTGACTTCGCTCAGCAAAATCACTGAAAGTAGGATGGTGCAACAAGCACCAGTCGTCTTGGGACGACACGAATAAGCAGGAACCAATCAAGGAGTAAACAGGGATAATTCGTTTATCCTCTCACCTTTATCAGAGGAATCCTAATAAGGAAAGGATATTTAGCCATATTCGGAAAACCCCAATAAGGAAGGGAGATCTGATAATCTCAGATTACCGGCAGGAGTCTGCCTACCTAATCTGGGCAATCCAAAAATGGCCTAGGAAACTTACTCGCCATTTCAGGGACAAGAAAATTCAAGATAAGCCGTTGTCGGAGGATGAATTCCTTACCATCCAAATGGTAAAACAGAAGTCAAAACAGAAGGGATAAATTAGAAGATTATCAAGAATTAAGGCTTACAGAACTCGCTATCAGAAACAGGTCTATCCTACAAGGAAAAGACGCAGAAGCGTGGAGCTACCTAGTCAAAATACGCCGAAAGCTCAAAGAGGCGCTTGAATGGTAATATCTAAAGAAGACGTCAGAGAGCAGGAAATAGGAAAACAGCCTAATAAGACTACGGCCCCCGGCCAAGAAAAGGAGTCTGAAATCTCTATTACCAACGGATAATGAAAGAAGTGTCGAGCTCATACGACAAGCTGAAGAGGCTAATAGGAAGAGAAGAAAGGAAGAAGAATAGTCAGGAAGCTTACCAGCGAAAGAACCCACCCAAGAAACCATGGTGTACTGACTGCTTCCTCAATGGCAGGAATCCAAAAGGGGGCTACTACTTCACAGAATGTAAGGAAAAAGGATGCAGACTATGATTACAACGAGCTTTTGACCAACTGGTGAACCAGTTCAGATACCAGGTAAAAGTGGCATTAAATGAACTGAAGAGCTTTGAAATAAGCGAAATTGCCTTAACGGTAATAATCATCATGTTCATTGGAATTAGGATATTGGCTGCTTTGCCTTTCTCTTTCGCACTCTCTTTACCTTGCTATCTTCCTTTCAGCGATACGGTACAAGTTGGTATTATGCTCGTTATTTTATTGGTTTGTCAATCATTTGAAGTGTTGCATGGTGCATATTACTAAAGCTTCGCTCTTTCTTGACCCTCGCTAGCAGCCAAAAGTCATTATCAATAATGGTAATACCTCGAGGCTTATGCCTGGTCTCCTCTTTCCTTTTCGTCAGGAATCCTCCTGTTCCTATTTAGGAATTAAACGTACTTTATTTTGGTTGGTTAACTGATTTAGCCTTAAGGCTACTTCCTTTCATTTACCGCCTTCAACTTTGGATAGTCAAAACACCTACTTTAACTTCAAGATTGATTCTTTCATCCGGTCTTGCTAGCATAAATGGGATAAAATCCGACAACGGCCAAATATACCCCAACATGGTTTTACCGTGTTTCGCCTCTAAGGCGGCCGTAGGCCCGGGGGCCAAAGCCCCGCCAACTTGGGGGGGAATTTTCAGAGGAAATAGGTAACTCGTTGAAGTGATGAAAGGGAGCTGGAGAAGTAAGTAACCACTCAAGGGTAGGAGCCGAGGAAGTGAGAGTAGTAGGAATATTGGACTCAAAGAACGAAGGAATAGCCCAATGATTAGCGGAGACTTGGACACGAGAGCTTAATTGAACGTATAGAAGATAAAGGAATACTAAAGTAGCCATAAGTGAGATAATAGAACCGAAAGATGCCATAAGATTCCAACCCGCATAGGCATCCGGGTAATCAGGAATCCGACGTGGTTGCCCTGCGAGCCCCAAAAAGTGCATAGGCATAAATGTTAAGTTTACACCAATAAATAGAGCCCAGAAGTGAATATGACCTAGCAATTCATTGTAAGGGTGACCAAGGATTTTTGGTGACCAGTAATACCAACCAGAGAATAACGCAAAGACTGCCCCCATTGATAAGACATAATGGAAGTGGGCTACGACGTAGTAAGTCTAATAGAGGATTAGGCTGGACTATATCTTCACCCTCTAGTCTCTAAAGGCTACCAACCCCTTGTCTTGCGTAGGTTACCTTTATTTAACGCAACCGAGCCCCCGACCAAAGGCATGTTTGGTGCATAGTCTCTGAGGAACCTGCTTAGGTTACAGTTTCCTGCGGATTGGGTTATAATATCCTAGGGATTTTTTGATGCCCGTCTTGCTTGCGGCGGGGTGGTAAACCACCCCCAGCAACCATAGCAAGGCCCATCAAGCCTAGAACTCTTTAAGCCTTCCCCGCATACTACCAAATTTAGCCACGACACTTACTTAAGCAGAATCGGTTCTACCTTGTTATTTACGGTTAAGAGAGACTCATGAAACTGAAGTAACTTCTCCCCACCCAAAGGTAAGAGGTTTCACCGCTCGAGTAAAGAGATCCGTTACGGTTTGAAGAGACTTAGAGTTGCAAGTTTACAAGATAAAGAGAGGTTTACCGGGGGGGCCTAAGCCCCCGCTAAAGCTCTTACCTTATTCGGAAGTTCGAACTTACACTTTATCGCCTCCAGGATTACAGAGTCGTAATTTTGCGAGATTGAAAAGGAGTGATTTCCACTCTGTCTTATGCAGAAGCATCCCTCAGCAGTTGTGAAGCCTACAAGCCAGTTCTCAAAATAGCACAAGGTAAGCAGTGAATCAGGACTTGCAGGAGCAATTACCTCCTGGCTCACATCTAGGTTGCTCTTAACTTCGACGTACTCCTCATAAGTTAAAGACCCCTGTAATTAAGTCTAAGAAGAGTGAATAGTGTATTCGAGCATTAGAAGTCAATAAAGGATATTTATCGAAGAACTGATTAAGTTTAAGGTTTCATTTTGGGGCCTGACCTGTAATACTTCAATTAGAACGTACATAAACCTTGCCTAATTGAAGAAACTCAAGGTTCGCGGAGGTGTTCTATCATTTAGATGATTATCCTGAACTGAAGAGCTTTCTTTCCTCCAATGGTTAACCTGGATTGACCTATCGCCCGCCCCGTCGTTTCAACCACCAAGAATTGCTCTACTGATTCCCAATTAAAGGGTTTGGAAATGGAAGTAAACAAGGTAGACGCCATGCTTAGAAGCACACTATCGTGCAAGGCGATATCCAATGATGCGTTAGCAAGCACTATACCAGTTAGCCCACCGATGGTAAAGAGGAAGATGAATCCAAGAGCAAACAGCATAGGAGTAGTGAAACGAATAGACCCTCCATAAAGAGTAGCTATCCAAGAGAATATCTTGATGCCAGTGGGAACTGCTATAATCATAGTCGCGGCCGTGAAGTAAGCTCGAGTATCAACGTCAAGACCTACAGCGTAGAGATGATGCTTATTCCGCCAGGGTTACCGGTGAGTAAGAGGCAGAGGACTATATCTTGAGGTTCTCAATTCTCCTTACTTAGGGTTATCAGAAGGGTCAGAGTTGAACCCATCGACGTTGAAAGGGTGAACGTTGATTTTCTTATGCTAGCTGCTGGATTTTAAGGCTTCTATGCTAAGCTGTTCCTTATTGAGGACCATTTGATAAACTACACTCCAGCGTTCGAGAGAGAGCCTCTTTAGTAGTGGGGGGCTAAAGCCCGGGGGGCCCCCCAAATTGGGAAATAAGCCAGAATCTGAGGAATCCCCTTTACAGAGTCTGTTTCGTACCGATATACAATGCCGCCCTTGGTCTTTCGTTCCACAATGTTCCAAACAGAAGAAGGATTTGGCCGCCGCCCCTAAGCAGTCCTTGCTACCATGACCATTCTTTTGGCCTTGGGGGGGTGGTAAAGCACGGGCTTCTCTGAAGCCCTACCCTTGGTAGCATGGGTAGCATGGGTAGCATGGGTAGCATACCGGAGAAATATCCTAAACCCCGCTTTAAAGAGAGTGTTAGCAGAGCTCGGGCCCCCCCCCGTTCGTTGAAGCACTTCTCGGTGTCGACAGACCCAGAGAACCAACCTGATTCTAGTTCTAGTGACACGTGAACCAAAGTAGAGTTAAGAAGGATAGGGGCCAGAGCTGAACTATTATAGGCTTCTACCCACTCTGTAAACTGGGCCAACCTAGTAGCTAGAACCAGGTTACCGTTAAACCGTTAAACAGGGCGATTATCTTAAAGACCTTTATAAGCCAATCTACCATATTGCTTGTCGGGGTAGACATATACCCGTCCAAACCCTAAGTCCTGTATATAATACAAGACTTGGATGTGCTTCTGAGCTATTGGTAGGCAAAGGAGCAGCCATAGATCCCCCGGGGCTTTAGCCCCTACCATGACAAAATACAGTCTACTGCCAACAGTGAAAACAAGGAATCATCAGCCTCCGAAAAGCCTATAAACCATTCCAAGAAGCCCCGATAACCCTTTTAGGGAATCTTGGAGAAGGCTGAGAAATCGAAAACCCCGTTGCATATAGTCTCTGAGGAACCCTTGTGGGTTGGCTCGGTTTCCTGCTGATTGACTGAGGAGCTAAAATGTTCTTACCCAGCTGAGATAAAATCAAGTAGTCCTAGCCCTAGCTGTCCCAGCATATAGCAATCTATAAGATTCGGCAGTTCCCTGCCGAGAGTCCCATCCTGATGAGACCATACAATAAATCCAAGGATACCAATACTTAGAATGGCATAGCAACCCCTAATCCTCTAAGATACAGTCTAATAAGCTGCCGAGCAAAAGGGGGGGGGGCCTAAAGGGCAGGGGGCTAAAGCGGGCTTCTCTGAAGCCGGGGGCTAAACCCCGGGGGGCCCCCCCCAAGGAAACGCAGTCAAATTGGACTACTTTTTCCTGTGTTCATCCTAGCGGGAATCAGTTTAACTCTATCCATCCCAGCTCTAGTAAGATGCCCGCCGCTACTAATCAGTTTCATTCCCTCCCTAAACGCTATAAAGTCCTGATGTTTCATATTCTCTAGTGGGTATCGCTCGAAGTGACCTATAATCTGGTTGAGTAGATGATGCTTGTTCTTGCTAGCAGGGGGCCGTAGGCGGGATCCTTTGGATCCCCCCCCATCTCCTAGTGTTACAATCCCTACTTCAAATCCAAAGAATGGTTGAATCCTATGAACATCCTCAGAATTCAAAAGAATCTCGAAAGAAGTCCGTACTTCCACTTCAGTGGATTTTAGGATCTTAATCAAGATCGTAAAACACCCTGGGGGCTTTAGCCCCAACCTGTAACCCAGTAAGGATTAAGCTCTTTAGAAGGAGCAGGGTTAGTTTTAGATGCCCTTTGGCGAGAACCGATAACCCTTTTTACTCTAAGAGGAATAAAGGCTTATTTACTATCATAACACAGGGCGGCAAATAGGCACAGTAAGTGACTTCAACAAGTGAGGACCTCAGGGGTAATTAGAAGGGCAGGTATCATACAGAACCAGAGAATGATAGACGCTAGAAAATTGCTCTTCCTTACAACCCTCGACTCTTTAAGAAGCCAAGGTAAATAGAGGATAAGGCTGGACTGTATCTTCAGGATAAATCCCTTCCCTGGCTCACGTGCAGTCTCTGAGGAACCTAACCTTAATTTAGTTACCTGCTGATTACCCAAAACCTAAGAGTTATCACCTATAAAGATTCTCTAGGCTATAAATCGGTCTCCCAGCATACAGTGACATTCAAAAGAGAAGGAAATCCTCTTAGGAGCCTATGGCTAGAGCATCCCTAAATACCCAAAGCAGTTAATCGTTAGTGGTTCTTCCTTTATTCATCCCCGCCTGAATTACAAGGATACGTTAAAATCCTTCGGGGCGGGGCCCTTGCCCCCGCCAGATGCTCTTCCTTTGCATCATCAAGGCTACAGTCTTGAAAACCCTCAAATTCTGTTGCTTTTTGAGATTGTAGAGGGTAAGGATACGGATACGAAATGAGGGATAAGAATAGTGACTATGTCTTTTTGGTAACAGTATATACACAGAATGCCGATTGCTTTCCACATAGATGTTCATTGCAAGCCCACAAGACTAGCAAGAAACAAAATTCAGTAGTTTAGTAATGAGCACTAATCTTTGGTATGTTGGGCCACTCTGAAAACCACGTGGAGTACATGGCCAACGGCATTGCTCGCACCCTTTAGAATTCTAATAGTCAAACTACCCTCCGCATCTACAAAGCCACTAACCCAGTTTGGGTCTAATTGGGGCGGGGGATCCAAAGGATCCCGGGCCGTAGGGTAGAGGAATCCTGGAAGGGTCTGAACAAGTATGTAAACCCACGTTTAGATTACCTGCTGAGGTATTTAGAAGGCTCCGTTTCCCGCTGGACTGGGAGTTAGGAGCCACTGAACTTTCCTTGCAGACCATACCAAGATAACCAAAAATCGGCTTTCCAGCAAAGGCTGAAATAACATGGCTAACGATTCCGAAGCCAGGAATGATTAAGATATACCATATATCAGGTCGGGTCGACTCATCTTGCAATGAGCTAGGGGCTAACTCATAATTAACCAGGCTCATGGTAGTAAGGCCACAGAAAGGCTTGTGCCAACAGGCAGAGCTGATGCCTTTGGGCAGTGAGGAAATAAGCGAATAGTCGACAGTAGATGAATCAGAGGGGATTAAAAGAGAATCGGCATTGTTTTCCGTTGAAGGCTAGCAACTAGCTAGGGGTGCTAAAGCCCACCAACTACCAACTAGCAAGACGCAGGAGACACACTTAAGGCAGTGGAAGGCCAGGAGAATAGGGACTCAAGGCAAAACACGATGAAGAAGGCCAAAGCAGGCATGGTTGCTGGGGGCGGGCCAAGGGCCCGGCCCCCCCGTATGATCCCCCCGCAAGCAAATGATTCCTAAAAAGGATGATGTTTGTGTTCATCATAGAGGTTGATGAGAGTTGAATTACGAAATGCCCCTTGCATAGGAGGGAAGGAGGAGAGGGGAGGCTTCCCGGCCCTTAGGGCCCCACCTATCTCTTGCCCGCCAAGCAAATCCCTGCAACTAGCATGCCTAAACGAAAGTTCCTGTGACTGCTAGCAAGAAGCAAGACGCAGGTGCTCAAGCCACGTATAGTAATACGACTAGCTAGCCCGCAGGGGTCTTTACTTCCCCTCTTTACTTGGCCTTCTTTAAGGCTGTACACTTAAGAATCCACTGTGAAGCACTACTTCCTCCCCCCTAAAAGAACCCAAGGGAGTAGAAAGGGGGTTTTCAGAAGAGGAGGTAAGCAAGGGGGGGGAGAGGTATGTGAGATGTGAGGCAAGAGCAGGGAAGGGAAGGGGAAGGGAGGAGTTGGTAACCTTACCTACCAAGGATAACCCTTTCTATTCTAAAGAGAAGAATAAGGGGATTAGATTCCATCTAAACGGTTAAGTAGGTGAGGCTTAAACAAAGGAGTTGGTTAAAATAAGGATCAAGTTTGGCTTCTGGTTATCAAGTAGCCTCCTGTGAAGCTATTCTTACCCGAACTCCCGAGGGAGCCTAAAAAGGAGTTACTGAACATGATTATGTTCATATTCATGAACTGTACACTACTTGGTTTATACAGTGCAAGTGCTTCCCTGGAAGTAGTGTAAGGAGGTAGGTAATCCCCTTTTAATTTGGTACTTAGTTCTCTGCTTATCTATCTGGACCTCTCTCTTATTATATACTGGTTAAAGGAATACCAAAATCAGGTTAAGATTCATCGGGCCTTTAGGGGGATCCATAGGTTCCCGGGGGCTTTAGCCCCTACAACCCTGCAACCTCCTCTCCTATCGTCGATTTTGAGGATTTTCTTTATACGTTCTAATCTTTGGGATAATTTCCCCCTTAATTATCCCTGTAAGACTCTTATGTCAATAGTTGAACTCGATCAGGTCGCTTCCACGTACGGGGGGCCTCATTTAGGCCCGGGCTTAAGCTTAGTTCATTCAGACTCTTAAGCCAAATTGCCTTATAGAAGATAAACCTCATTTTATGAGCAAGTGCCCGATTCGAACGAGCCCCAATAGAACATGAGTCTATTATGCCACCACTACACTAACTTGCATAAGAATCAATCGGAGGGAATGGGTACGGCCTTTAGGGCCCACCCTTCCATGTTACTCTTATGAATTGGTTAATTGGCTTAAGAGGGCGGCCCCCAAGCCAATTATCGCCTTTACAAGGCGATTAACCGTCCCCTGTTCTAACCAAGCCTTCGGACTTAACCCTACCTCTTGGTTAACCTCCCCGTTGCACTTTCTAAACTAAATAGCTTGTTTTCTATTTGATAGGAATTTTGATCCTTACTTAATGATACTGTTTAGTAGTCTGGTCGGTATCAAGACCGATGTTCTCTTTCTAAAGAGTAGAGTAAAGAGACATTTTTACCCTTATGAAGACCTGATTTTCACCTTCGCATCCGGTTCTCAACTCAAGAGATAGGCAGCTTTTTACCTTATGAAGACCTCGGGGGGCCTATGGCGGGGCTTATCTGAACCCCCGCCAAGAGCAAGTAAATCAGGTTTTAAATCAGATGATTTCAATCTGACCTCACAGGTGGTATTGACCCGGGGGGGGGCTAAAGCCCCCCGGCCGCCATGCTAGCAACGCTAAGCTCAAAGACATAAACAATCATCATTGTTTACAAGTTAAGTATGCCTTAATAGCCTTATTTACAGGGGGGGGGCTTTCGCCCGTTTGATACGTTCCACGACTCGTTCACGAACCGTGACCTTGCTACAACTTAACAGGAATCGCCGATGCCACCTAAACGATTGAAATGTTTACCAACTATAAAAACATAGCTCAAATAGCTAGTAAGTTTAAACCGTCTTCGGATAGAACCAACTTTCCCCGCCTGATGGACAGTCAGTGCTCCTCGAAGAGAAGTTTCACCGTGGCGTGCTGATTCACGATTACTAGCAATTCCTGCTTCGTGTGCTCGAGTTACAGAGCACAGTTCGTACACTTACTTGGGTTAAGGCTTAGCTCCGGCTCACACCATTGCCTCCCATTGAATGAGTATTTGTGGCACGTTACTATTGCCCACTCCATAAGGGCCATGAGGGCTTGTCGTTGTCCCTATTACCGACGCTCATTGCATCATACCCTGATAATACACGGATCAACCTGTTACCTTAGCTTAATGGCTGACCTACCTCTTTCATCTTTCCTTCCCTATGCTTATGCTTACGTAGCTATCTTATAACCCATAGCAAGTTATTATCCCTGAAGTCACTATGTTCCCTTCTGGTGGTAGCTAGGATAATTAGATAGCTGAACTAAAGCGGCGCGGCGCGGCACTCGGGATACACGGCATACTTTGCTTGGTATGCTTGGTAGCTGGTAGTTGGTAGCAGCATGAGGAAAACTCACTAATTAGCACGTAATTGGCAGGGTTTTGTCAATAAGGCCCCCTGAAGCTTTCCAACGAACCTGCTCGTATGTAAATACCCTTTTTAGTTTGGATTATCATATGGTTGAGCGTCTCGTAACAAGCCTCCTTAACACCGACACCCGTGTGAAATCTCAGGGGATTAAGTTAAGATGGTTTCCCCCTTTTTTCCGAATGAATCGTAGATTTAGTAAACCAAGGTAATAGGCAGCTCGTGTTCTCGTGATTTGAATTATCAGGCGGGGTTTCGTTCGTTAGCGGACTAAACCTCAAATTTCACAACACGAACTAAAGACAGCCATGCAGCACCTGTGATGACAATGCACCATTCAAGGAGAGGTGAGGTAGTACGCGGGGTATCGTATTAAACAACATGCTTCACTGCTGGTCTTCAGGGCCGTCTAGACGTTTGGGTTTCAAAGTTGCCTTCTTACTCCCCAGGCGGGAAGCTTAATGCCTTCGCTACTAGGGTGAGACCCCCGTTCCCTTCCTATAGCCTCCATCGTTTAAGGTGTGGACTAGGAGGGTATCTAATCCTCTTCGCTCCCCACACTATCGTATCTCAGCGTCAGTGGTTACTCAGGATAGGGCCTTCGCCCTAGCGCTCCTCCAGGTATCAACGGATTCTATCCCTACACCAGGAGTTACCTATCCCCGCATTACACTCAAGCTTCGGCAGTTCTCTTGGAATCAGAGGGCTGGGTTAAGCCACCGGGTGGTTTACCACCCCGGCTTTGTAGGATACACGGCATCGGGTTGCTATGCTTGGTATGCTTGGTATGCAAAGGAGCAGCCATAGATCCCCCGGGGCTTTACCCCCTACCATAGCAAAAGAGAAGGACCGAAGCCCATATCTAACTAATATCGCACCATATATAAGAGAGAACCCCTTAAACCCCCCTGCTTGGAGGTAAAAGTGCTTCGCAAGGCGAGAGGATAAGTTAGTAGAACTGCCCACATACCATTATTGGTAATTATATAGACCCCTACACGGCCTTTAAGCACCCTCATCTCATAAGGAGTTTTATGGCTTCATATGCATGCGGAAATTGTTTGGAATTTCATTATATACCCACCATCACTGCCTCCCATTTAGGGAGGGCCTGGTAACTCGACTCAATACCCCTTTCACTACTTATGCCTATGGTTGCTATGCTAGGGGCTAAACCGGGATCCTTTGCATAGCAACCATACCAACCCGCAACTAGCAAGCATAACCAAGCCCAAGAGGTGAGGCCGTGGCTCTCCCACGCACTCATCCCGGGCCTAAGATGGGCTGGATGCACTGCTGTGTAAGCGCAAGCAATCATGTCATGTATTATAGCAGTTGGAATCAGAGGGGTGGCTTAAGCCACCGGGTGGTTTACCACCCCGGGTCGATAGGATCGGGGCCAGATGTCCCCAAGGGAACGAGGCGGGCTCTAAGCCATACCAGATGGTACCCAACCCTAGCCATCCCTCACTCTTATCCTCCCCTTAAGTAGGAAGGCGGTTAAGCCAATAGATCCAACCGCAAGAGGGCTTCGATTAATAACTAGTTCGGACCCTATTAAAGAAATAGACCGATCCTGTAATATACCACAGCGAGGAGAGCAAGGCAATGAACAATCCGGTAGCCTTATCTAAGTAGCGCCTCGTGTACAGCACTAAAGAGTGACACAGCTTACCTAAACTAGCGGAACGAGAACCAGACACCGGGGCCTAAAGGCGGGGGGGTAAAGCGGGATCCTTTGGATCCCCCTAAAGGCCGGGGTTATCTGAAGCCCCCGGGATCCTATGGATCCCGCCCCCTCGGGATAAACGCCATCCTTTCCTTAGAATCACTTGCGGTTATCGTCCACATATAGTTTCAGGCCTACGGGCTAAATACCTTGCTATTTATAGCCTTCTTATTCTTTAACCTAATCCTCTTAAATAGAGGGTCAAATCTTCAATACCTCTTACCAGTGTACTTGTCTGGCTTGGACAGGGAATAGTTTCAATTCCCTTATTTATCCGCTCCGATCTGATATGTAAATCCAAGTAAGTAAAGGGGCCTCTAGGGATGTCTAGGCAATGGTCCGGTAAGAGTAATCTTGCCTAAGAGTTGTAGGAACTTTCCTATCCTCGATCAATCTAAAGGATGTTCCCTATTACCCTGGGAACTGAAACATCTAAGTACCAGGAGGAAAGAAAATCAACCGAGAGTCCAGAAGTAGTGGCGAGCGAACCTGGAGTAGCCATCTGGTTATTGAAATCTCCATATCAGGTAATTACGGTTTTAACTCATTTTTGATTCTGATTTAATCCCTTCTAAAGAGAATGAGTAATACAAGGAAAAACACCTCGTGTACAGTTCATTACTTTCAATTCATCCGTAATTACTTGAGGACTCACCAGATATCCCGGGTTAACCAACCTGGTTTAATTAAAGGGGAACCTTCCTCTTGAGGCTAAGTATGGACCAATGACCGATAGAGCAGAGTACCGTGAGGGAAGGATGAAAAAGCAGGTAGAAGACTGGTGAAAAGAGCCTGAAGTAGTGGCTCCAGAAGCAGCTGGTATCTCCCCTGAGATGGTTCATGAAGGTTCTCTGAATCTGAAGAGTGAAGCCATCCAGATTCTGGGATGACAGCGTACCTTTTGCATAATGGGTCAGCAAGTTGATGGTAGGAGCAAGTAGCAATACCTAGTAAATGCGACCCCGGGATAATTAATGAGTTTTCATTGCCTTAAGAGACTCCTAAGCCAATCCTTACAGCCGACCAGCTATGGTTATCTATTGATAAGCGATATCCGAAGGATCCCGCCGGGATCCAAAGGATCCCGGTTTAGGCCGCCCTCTTAAGGCAACAAGCAAAGTCATTCTAATCAAATGCTCGGCGGTGTAAGTTCCGTGGATCAGACCCGAACCCAGGTGAACTTGCCATGGCCAAGTGTTAAGACTGAACGGGTGTCCGTTGCAAGGGGCTCCGATGAGCTGTGGCAAGGGGTGAAAGGCCAATCTTACCTGGAGCTAGCTGGTTTACCGCGAAACCTATATCAGTAGGCTCCCACCTACTTTATCCTTAACCACTCCTTTATCCCTTGAGCCTTCCCTCTTTAGTAGGTCGCATACCGAGGTAGTAAAGAGACGAAGTTGCCTATGGTAAGCTTCCTAATTCCCCTTAAGAGGCCGGGCCCCCAAGGCAATGATTCGCCTTATACAAGGCGATCATACACTTAAGGATAGAGTCTCGCTCTAAAAGAGCGATCTTAACTACTCAAGAGAAGAGACACGAAGGAGCAGGGTAGCAACTACCAAGGCATAGAGGGTACCGGATCGTGAACATTACAGGTGGATCAGGTTGTTACTAGCTGGTACGGCACTGGAATGCGTGCATCACTGCTTGAACGGGGGGCTATAATGGCTCTATCGTCCCTTTCTAACCCCGGAATTGCTAGTATACAAAGGTGGGTAATCAGACCATTCATGATAAGGTGATTGGTCAAAAGGGCAACAGCCCTGAACAGGGGGTAAGGTCCCTAAGTTCTACTGAGTGATAACAAGGCAGTCCTCACCAGAGTCTTTCCACCAAGTGGGCTTGGAAGCAGCCACCTTTTTGTGAAAGCGTAACAGCTCAGTGGTAATGGTCAATTTTTGAAGTCAAAGTGAGGGCGCCGATAATCTAACGGGTCTAAGTAGAAGTCTCCCTGAGGGGGACAGGCAAAGGCAATTGGCATCGCGTTGCTGATGGTGAAGCTCTTCTTGCCTCTTAAACGTACTCTATCCTTAACGTGTCCTCTGTCTTATCTAAGTCGCAGATGCTCGCGGACGACCATCTGGTACTAGCAGCCTTGCTGCCAAGGCAACTGCGAGCGTCCGTCCAGTTGGCAGGAGGCACCTAGGCAACTAGTCGTAGGTGAAAACACTTACTAAAGAAGGCAACACGATACCCAGTCCAATACTTTGCCTCACCGATACCCTGTCCTAGTCCCCATCCCCCTCTTCTATTCTCTTATTTACTAAGTGTAGGTTTTACTTCGCCTTATACAAGGCGATTAATGGTCGCGGACGACCATAAACTATCTTACTTGCTGAAAAGTAACCAAGGAGCAGTTAGAAAGGCTCATGTTTTTGTCTTGTTGTTGCTCCTTTGCATAAACAAGGCAACTTTTGCCCGGTCGACATACTTGCCTAGGGCAGGTTTAAAACCGTTTTAGGCCTGGCACGAGCCTTGAGGCTCTTGCTGCTACTAGCATGCCGCTGAGACGATGGTCGCATGGTAGCAAGGGGGACAACTCTGCCTTACGACTAGTTGGGTCTGTAAAAGGGGGATCTGGTGTGATACTAGGGGTAGCGGTACTCCCAGCAAATGGATTGAAGCTGGGTCATCGACCCGGTGGACATAGCCGGGGTGAGAATGCTGACATGAGTAGCGTTAAAGCAGGGGATATCCCCTAATCGCCGTAAGCAGAAGGGTTTCATGAGTAAGGTGAATACCACCATGAGTAAGGCTCCGGCCTCTAAGGCACCGGATACTTCCCGAGTCCCGATGAGTCACTCTAACTGATCCCCAGTAACCTATCTTTAAAGATTACCTTTTACCTCTTAACAGTAAGTAGACTCTTTCCGCTCTTCAATTTTACCTGAGCTACAAACCCCGGGTTATGGCACGACTTTTCCCTACTGCACGCCCTACAGTTGTCAGAGGTCAAACTCTTGGTTGCGGGTTGGTAGTTGGTAGTCGGTAGCCTTTTAAAACCACTTAAAACCCAACGAGCCTTTAGGGCCTTGGGGGGCCGTAAGGCCACCTTTAGCCCCTAGCATGGCTGGCTTTTTCAATGAGGCGTCGACTAAACTATCCAAAATGAAATGATTCAAAGGTAATCTTAAAGGGTATAAGGTTCGGGAAATAGGTGATCAAAAATCAGTTTGATGGTGAATGTGGTCTTACTCCATAAGACAAACCGTACCCTAATCCGACGCAGGTCTGCAGGTTCACGATACCTAGGCGTAGAGGAAATCCTCTTGAAGGAACTCGGCAATCTAACCCCGTAACTTAGGGAGAAGGGGTGCCAGTGGCTTCCCGTCTTACTTATCCCTTACTTCCCTCTTGAGTAGTGTACATCGATTGAATTCGCTCCTTAACAATCCCCATCTACCTTTGACAGTGACAGGGGGGATTGAATCCCCCTTTTCAAGGAGGTTAGCCCTTATTTTATCCTTAATTCATGAGGTTTAGTAAGTTACTTAACAGGACGATGCCTAAAGCAAAGGAAAGGAAAGGGACGATTCGTCCTTAACGACGTTCATTGTTAACTACGGTAAACGGGAAGGGAGGAAGCTGGCGGCACTAAAAAGGGGGGCGCGTCTGTTTACTTAAAAGTGCGACCTGCTAAGCTATCAGAAGTAATACGGTGCAAGCCCGTTATGGACGTTGATCTCCATAAGCCCACCTACAGGTGCATAGTTGGTAACGAGTTTGTGCTAAGCTGTAGGGACAATGTAAGACAACCATCTAAGCACATGGTGGTACGCTGCTAGGCTAGATTACTATGGATAACCCGAGTTAACATACAATTAGGCGTCGTAAGAACAGATCACTGAAAGTGCTTGAAACGGTGAATTGAGGATGGGCTAATTTGCTTTTAATGAGTTAGTCGATCAACCTTATATCCTCCGGCGTAGAGTATGATCCTAAGGTAATCATTAAGGTATTTCTGATGGAACAGGGTAAGCCCAATAGCCTCCACAGCTTTGGAGGGATGCAAGTAATTGCATCTATCGGCTAGTGGGGAAAGGACAGTGTAAGAAGCGAATGCCAATGCGTAATTCATTGGATAAGATCCATTGATCTACTTCGAAAGAAGGCAGACTTACACATGGGTGTTGCTCCGAGCATGTTGAAGTTAATTCTTCATTGGGACAGTAAGGGTCTCCCAAGATTAAGGGAACGCGTTTTAAGTCGTGCTATCTTTAGAGTGGGTCTATAATGGGGTAATTCACCTACTTAACTTCATCATGGTAATGAAGATGAACATCAAACATTTTACAACCCTAAGGTCATAATTGAATCGAATCGAATTAGGGTTGTAACATGGTACGACGGTTATGTCGGGATGCAAGAGCAACGCTTGAGCCGTGTGCGGGGAAACTTGCATGCACGGTTCTGAGGAGGGGAAAGCCTGAGAGGGCCTACCTATTCCAACCACCGGACTCTGCTAACTCATGCGTGGATGTATAGAGTCTGATACCTGCCCGATGCTAGTTAATGAACTTAGCCGTTCAAGGATGGCAAGGTAACCTCTAGTTAATGGCGGCTGTAACCTTGACGGTCCTAAGGTAGCGAAATTTCTTGGCATTTAAATGATGTCCCGCATGAAAGGTTAATGTTAAGCCACATGCTGATCGTGAGATCTCATTGTAAACTCCCCTATATTCGGGGAAGCCCTTAAACCCCAGTCATCATAGAATGATTAGAGTACTGGACAATAAATGGGTGACCCGAAGGAAAAAACTTGCAATTGAACTTCTTAAGTGGGAGTAGAGGCATGGTAGCAAGGCTACCAAGAAGCAGGGTAGCAAGAGAAGAAGCAGAGTGATTTCAAGTAATGAACCTAATTTTGGCAAATATCCCTTAATAGCTTATAACCTCCGTCGAGAATTTTTGGAGGCTAGCAAGGAGCCAGATTATAGGTTTCATGAAGGTAAAGGCTCAGCTCATTTAACGGGCCGGGGCCGTAGGCCCGCTTTAGCCCCCCATAGCTACCATAGCTACCATAGCTATCCTTTGCTGTGTAGGGTGCGTCTCTCTTATTTACCGTGGGGGTGGCAATATTTTGGAATAGGTAGCGGTACCAGGTGATAGCCCTGAAGCCACTCTCTCTTTTGTGAGGGTATGTAACACCCCGGACGACGTTGGTATTCGTACCATCGAGCAGGATAGCTAAAGGGACGCTGCCTTTGAGGGCACTCCCGTTCAGCCGGCCCGTTACAGAGCCTCATCTTATTTGGGCCGGGGTTTAGCCCCCCCTACCAAGGCTAGCAAGGCTAGCAAGGGTGCTAGTACCAGGCATGCTCGTCTTGGTAGTTGGTAGCATGGGAGCATCTGCGACGTCTTTAAAAGACTCGAACACGACCACCTTTGCTACCAGCAGTATGCACACGTCAAAGCAGCTAGATTAGCTGGATTACCGTTTTGCCATTTAGCCTTTAGGGGCTAAAGGTGGGCCCCCCTCTGATTACACTTATTGACGATGTTACCTTGTTCCTTCGTGTTTAGATTACTTCTAAGTTTTATAGGTAATCTCCCCACACACATAACTATGAAGTTTCATGTTTGCAAGTATTATCCTCAGAGACTCTACGGGGACGACCTCTGAATAGCAAGAGGCCAAGACAGAGTCCACCTACTACTTAATAGTGAGTTTTTGGTTAACGATGCTCCCACTGTCTCCAAGAGGACCTCGGCGAAATTGAATCATCCGTGAAGATGCGGATTACCCCCAGGTAGACGAGAAGACCCTTTGAAGCTTGACTGCATCTACCTACTCTGGTACCGGTACTCGGGAAGGAGTCTACAAGGGAGTTGACTAGACACCAGTGAGATACCTTGACCTAGGTACTAGTAACTCAATAAATGGTGGTTAGAAGGCAGTTTTTTTGGGGCGAAATCCTCACCTAAAGTAACTGAGGAGTCCGAAGGTGTGCATATCCTAGGTAGGTAACCTAATTAACCCGTTGGAGAGGGTAATAAAAGCGCAATGGCATAAGCATGCTTGACTGCATGAGCTACAACTCTAGCAGGAAAGAGATGGGCCTCAAGGCCCATGAACCAAAGCTTTGGTTCATCCGCCCCTAGTTATCCCCCCTTTTGACGAGGTTCAGTCCGCACTGTTAAGGGCGGATCGAGTCGTCCTTAAGAAAAAAAGCGGGATCCTTTGGATCCCCCTAAACCCCCCGGCCTTTAGAGTGCGGACCTTAAGCTTGAACCCTCTACTTGAACCCTGTATAGAACTCCACCTTAATTGGCTTAAGAGGGCGGGCCCCTGGGGCCCCAAGGCAATGATTCATAAACAGACGAAAAGCTATATTCAATTACTGTGATTGCCAGTAACGGTTTTATTGCTCAAATTTGAAAGTCTTCATTGACTTTTTCCATGAGGCGTCGACTTTTCCATGCATCCGGAGTAGAGCCTAAGGACGGATTTCTCGCCTTTTATAAGGCGAATCCTCGACGTCCGAGTAGAGTAAACAACAGGGGGCAGCTAGGGGCTTTAGGCAACTAGGGCATAGTGACCCGGTGATACATTAAGGGATGGTCATCGATCAACGGATAAAAGCTACTCAAGGGATAACAGGCTGATCCCCCGCGAGAGTCCATATTGACTGGGGGGTTTGGCACCTCGATGTCGGCTCATCCTAACCTAGAGCTGAATAAGGTTCTAAGGGTTCGGCTGTTCGCCGAGTAAAAGGGTACGTGAGCTGGGTTAAGTACGACGCGAGTCAGTACGGCTTCTATCTTCTGGGGGGAGAAGGAAGTATCGAGGAAGCTGGCAGTGGTACGCAAGGATTCTGCTGAAATTACCTCTTGTGTACCTGTTGTTTAAGGTAACTAAAGAAGTGCCTGAGCATAGCAGGGTAGCTACGTAAGTAATAGATAACCGCTGAATCCATATAAGCGGGAAACTAACCCTTTTAACTTCCTTCCTTATTAAGACTTAAGGAATAATACCTTATTAATAGGTTGACAGTGTAATTGTGGTAACGCATTTAGCTATTTGATACTAACAGTCAAGTAACTTGGATTTACCAGATCGTAGGCAAAGGAGCAGCCATAGATCCCCCGGGGCTTTAGCCCCTACCATGGCGTTTCATATTTCCCATAGACAATGTCCTTAGGGGGACGTTTTCATTGGCGTCCAGTTTTACCATGAGGAATATCCGACCACTAGACATTGGTAAAAGTTAACCCTAACCCAATTATTGCCCTTGCCCTTTACCAAGGGCATAACCTAATTTTCATTGTTGACCTAAAAAGCAAAAGACAAGGCAGGGAAGTAGTAATTGGCTATAACCCAATGTTCCCCTCCCCTTTACACCCGTTCAGATTTTCAGGCATGCAGGTTGGTAGTTGGTAGCATAGCAAGCAAGACGGTAGCCCTCCCCTAAAGGTACAGAACGTGCCTTTGGCCTTTTATGCAAAGGAGCAAGCCTAGCCGGAGCAAGCCTACGAAAAATCCTGCAATCCTGCCCTAGTGGCCTTGGGGGGCCGTAGGCCCAGCTTTAGCCCCTAGCATGGCCCTAATGCGTCCTATAAATTGGTATCCGTTACTTATCAGGCATGGTTGGTAGCATAGCAAGGCAACAAAATGATTGTTTATGTCTTTGAGCTTAGCGTTGCTAGCATGGCGGCCGGGGGGCCTATGGCGGGGGTTATCTGAACCCCCCAGATGAAAAAAGCAGGGGGTTACAGGTGGGATTTATCTATGGCTTAATCGAATCGATTAACTGTTACCATGAACGTTGGTTCAACCCGGAGGCCCCCTAAAGCCCGGGCTTCTCTGAAGCCCCTCTATAACCGAATCCTCTCTTAGTTTAATCTTACTGGTGCTTATGCTATTGGTCGGCCCTAGTTAAGTATGGCTTTACCGGCGCCCCTCTTGAACTCTTATTATTGTAATCGTACCAAATGCTACCCTGGTGCTTAACCTTGAACAGCATGTGCTTGACAGCCTGCCTACAAGATTCTCCCTGAGGCTTCGCTATGCTAGCAAGGAACTTCAGCCGGCTTAGTGAGGAACACATAGCAAAGGCCAAGATATCTGCAGGGTAGAAAACACTCATTGGAAACTAGACAACTTTTGTCGGAAAGTAAACGTGGAGTTAATGCCCCTTTCTATGGAAAGAGCCTAACCAAGGAAAGTATAGCAGAGGCTAAGATGTCTTGCTAGTTGCGGGGGGGATCATACGGGGGCCCGGCCCCTTGGGCCGCCCCCTCCGGCTACCAAGCCGCAACTACCGAGCCGCAACTACCAAGCCGGAACTACCAAGCCGCAAGTACCAAGCATAAACAGGGGGGCTCTGAATCCAATGTTTGGTAAACCTGCCCCTAATGCAAAGGTGGTCTACTTATACAAGCTTACTAATGAAGGGGCTATTTTTGTTCATGCTACCAACCCTTTCCCTTGCTAGTTGCTACCATTGCGGGGGGCGGGGAATCCTACGGATCCCCCCCTCTGATTCCATCAAAATTCCCTTCTCAAAACCTCCTTTTTTCTACCTTTGATACATGGAAAGAATCCATACCTTAAGGTATTGAATTTAGGGGCCCCCTGGGGCCGGCCACGGGTTCTTCGGTGAGAGTGTCGATAACGAACGCAAAGGAGATTCCGAGAATTAACCGTTCACCATTTCAAGGAAAAGTAACCTGATTGGTTAAGGTGGTATCCTGCTAAGATATGGCACTTATTAGTGCTTGTGGGTTCGAGTCCCTCCTTTTCCGAAGAAATTAACCCGAATTTATCGGTTAATGAATACTTCCACTCTCTAGCAACGGGAGCCTTCTACCTGGTTCAGTCTTTTGCTACCTTACATCAGGTAAGCGCTTACCTGGTTCGTAACCATATTAGACAGTCTGTTGATTTTCCTTCAAGTGGTAAACAATACCGTGTCCTCTTGGGGTCTTAGGGGGGGGATCCTTTGGATCCCGGGGGGTTAAGAGAAGCCCCTTAATTTTCTCAATCATAAGAGTATCTTGTCTACTTTGGATTGTTCCGTCTTAGCTGTTCCTCTCCTTGATTATCTCCTTCATTTATGAATCGAAGAATCAAATTCCCCCCTATGGAGTAATAAAGTGTAATTGTTATACAAGGATATTACGGTGATTATAGTTCAAACGGTTAGAACATCAGTTTGTGGTATTGAAGCTCTGGGTTCGAGCCCCAGTAATCACCTTTCCCCATAGCTACGGAATCCTTAAGTGTACACCCTTCCTGGATAGCTTTAGGTCTGGTTGGAAGAAGAAACCCTTCTTCATGGTGATGATAGCTCTCTACCTTCCTTTACTTATTACTTTGAAGGGAATAGTAACTTCTTTTTGCACTCTTAAGTAAGACTTTAGTATTAGTAATACTCCTAGTAGTTCCTCTTTACTACTTATTTACTACTGTAGTCTTACGAATACTTATATAGTAATAGCCTCTTTGGCTGGGGGATCCATAGGATCCCGGGGGGTTAAGAGAAGCCCGGGCCTTTAGGGGGATCCAAGGAGCCCGGTTTACCCGGGGCTTTAGCCCCCCGCCCACAAGGGTAAGTATCAAACTGATTAAGTTTCAGGCTTTAGGAAAATTCCCTCTAATTTAATGGTTAGCTTTCTTTTCAAGATTGCGGAGGGATCTGAAAGTTACACTTTCTAAAGAAAGAAATGTACACGAGGGTTAAGTTAGTTAAGATTTGAAGGGAGGGTAAGGAACTTTTGCCTTGGTGATTGATTAAGGGTGTCCGGGTGATCCGAGTCCGTAGCTCAATAGGTAGAGCATCCGTCTTTTAAACGGGTTTATACGGGTTCAAGGCCCGTCGTACTCATTTTATGCTACTAACCAGGCTCATGCTAGCAAGGGGGGAAATTTAAGTAGTTAAAGTGCCAATAAGATGGAAGGCAGGGGGGGGTTAAGAGAAGCCCGTGCTTTAGGGGCCCCCCCCCAAAATCCTAAAAGGAAAGGAAAGGAAAGGAAAGGAAAGGATAGAACCCCTTCAAGAAGAGTCATTCCACTATTCATTTCCCTGGATCAAAGCCGAGGAGATATGGGTTATCAACCTATGATATAACAA